CCAGAAATGTTTACTTACCAGGCAAATGTGAGTAATACAAATACAACAAAATAACCATCCACTTGGCCAGTGCCCTGATAATTGGATCTCATGGACACACACTTACACACTTACACACACACACACACACACACACACACACACACCATTTACAATGATAACAGCTTTCTTCTGGAATAGAAAAACGATCCCTGGACTAGTATCCTTGTGCGGCCTTGGACAACTTTCTTCTGGAATAGAAAAGGGATCCTTGGACTAGGAGCCTTGTGCAGCCTTGGACAACTTTCTTGTTTTCTGGGCCATAGTTTCTTCAATTGTAGATAGGAGATTTGGGGGTGGGTAGAGGAAGTGATTAATTGGATTCTAGAGACCCTTTCAATTGCAACTTGAATCAGAGTATGGAGTAGAGCCATTTTGTATTTGTCCTTGGATTTATGAGTTACTTCTGTAGTTATGCTATGAACCAGAAGATTCTGAGGATTACTCCTTAAATTACTTCAAGCTTATAAGTGTGAATTTAAATGACCTTGGGTCCTCAATGCAGTCATGCCCTCAGCATTGTCAGTGTGCTTTCGTGTTTTAGAATTTTGTCCCCACCCTTATCCCCCATCGGATCCTCATTTTTCACTTAACTCCCTTCAATTAACTCCAGTGAGGAGGTAGATGGTTTTCAAATGTATACTCTTGATGAAACAGAAGGTTTGACAACTATTTATTCTTTAATTTAGTTTTTAGGTCCTACTTTTTGGAATTGGTAGGATTGTTAAAATCAAATCAGAAAATCTCCATCTAAATCTCTGCGCAAATATGACTCGTTTAGTCTTTGGTGGGATAAACTCTCTGTATTTAAGATTCTCAGAGAAAACTTTGACGTGAGTCCAGGAAGATGAAATGGTATACCCACATTCACACAGCCGTATGGCAGTATTCTTGGGCCTAGACCCTCATTTTTGTCATTTGACTGTGCCTTCTGGTGGAAAGTCTTTCCCCTACACAGGTGAAAGACTTGGATTTGAAAACAGCCTTTTCAAATCCACTTTCTAGCTGTGTTACCCTAGAGATCATTACTAATTACTGATTTCTCTGAGCATCAGTTTCTTCATCCTGGAGGGGATGGGGAAGAGGACAGAATGGTAACAGTGTCTACCTCACAGAATGGACTAGAAACACAAGATGGATTTTTAGTTAAAAGGCAGCTGAAGCAATTACAGCCAATATACTTGTCATTCGTCTCCTATATAACATCTGTACAGTATATATTGTGACAAAAACAGTGATGATTGCCTTCCAAACATCCACTATGGCTTAGAAAGTAAGTCATACCTCTTGGCCAATCCCAAGGTCTCATCAGTACCTTGTATACTCCTGGAATAGAAACAATAAGAACAGCTGAGTGCTATGCTAAATGCTTTACATAAAATGATCTCTCATCCTCACAGCAGCCCTACAAAGTGTGTATGATCCCTGTTAAGCAAGAGAATCAAAGCCATTTATTCACATGTCTACAGCTACAGTGCTAGGTATTAGCAAAGCCAGGCTTTGAGTCAGCCTGGGCTCCAACATGTTCTTTGGTCAACCACTGTTTGGATTCTGAGACACCCAGTGAGCCTTGAGGGTGGGAATTATTTGGGGGACAGGATAAAGATAAAGGCAGCATTGAGATAAGGGAACTAGTCATTATTTGGCCAGTCATCTTTTCCAGAAACTTTGGCCAGCCTCCCTTCCTGCTCCTGTTATCACCAGCCGTTGATGGCTGGCCAGCCTAGGCCTGGCTCCTTGGTCAAAACCCTTCAGAGTTTTCCTCTGAGGGTGGGGGCAAGGTTTGTGAGCTGGGCAGGCTTCCCAGGGGTGGTATGGAAAGAAAGGGGAGTGATTTCATAGGGCCCTAAAAAAGAAGCCAGGAAGAAAAGGGAAAATATCAAACGCTCTTTAAAAGAAAACAAGTTGACTCAGGCATTTGTGGGTACTATCTCTAGTCTAGACTTAGAGATAGAAGCCCAGGCCAGGAATCTGGAAGCCTCTATTGACTGACCTTCCAAATGACCCAAGTCACATCAGTACAACAACCTCACTACCCAGTATCCAAACAGTCCAGCCTCACGTTCTTTAATGTTTTTCCTTATTTGTGCCATGTTTTCTCCCCTCATAGGATATCAAGCAATAAAAATAAATCCTATTAATGGCTGGGGTTTTTTTTGCATGTGTATGTGTTTGCTTTCACATTCTTTTCTCATCTAATTGGTAAAACAAGCCAGAGAGACAGATAGGCTGGCCAGGCATGAACAGGAACTGAAGCTTAGTGACCCTGTACATGATCTCCCAACTAGTTAACAGCAAATTGAATCTGCTTCCTGATGTCCTGGCTCCTGACACAGGCCCTCTCATCCACTCATTAATTTTATCCCAGTTGGGTGAGATTTTATCTTACTTGGACCTTCTGACTCCAAACCATGTATCCTTGTTTTACTGATATTCACACTGCCAGCAGTGTGCTTGTGGGGTAAAGGATTGTGATTGTGAACAGTGATCATGGAGTGGAGGATTGTGATTGTGAGCAATGCAGTTGGAAGAGAGTGAGGAGGAGGTAGAGGGTGCTAAAGATAGTGCAAGGAGAATAATGTCTACACCAAGAGCTAGCACTTCAGCAAAAACTTAGTGTTTTCTGAGTGTTCCATTTCCCTTCAAAGAGGAAATAAAAAATAGAGGTCAGATGTACTGTTTTAGGCTCTAATTAATTTCTTGCATACAATTCATAGTTTGGCAAGGACTTGTATATGTGTGTACTTTTAAAAGCATTTAAAAGTGTTCAACTCAATGATTTTTAGTAAGTTCTGCAATCAGCACAGTCTAATTTTAGGACATTTTTATCAGCCACCGGAAAAACCCTATACATTCCCTCTTCATTCCCCTAACACTAAGCAACCGTGAATATACTATCTGCCTCAGTATTTGCCAGTTATAGACATTTCATTTAAAAGAATATGGCTTTTCATTTATCATGAATGTTTTTAAGATTAATACATATTGTAATTTATGTCAGTACTTTACTGCTGAATAATATTCCATTGTACAAGACATACCACATTTTATTAGTGGATCATTTGATGGGCATTTGGATGTTTCCACTCTTTGGCTATTATGGGTAATGCTAAGAATATTCACATGCAAGGTATTGCATGTTTATCTAAGCTATATACCTATGAGTGAAACTGATAGATCAAATGCAGTTTCTTTAACTTTCTGAGGAAAGCAGCTTTTTTTCTTGAGATACATTTCACATACCACAAATTTCACTCACTTAAAGCATATATTTCAAAAGGTTTTCATACATGGACAAATTATATAACCATCACTACAGTCTCTTTTAGAAATTTTTCATTGCTCCAGAAAGAAACCTCAGTCATCAGCAGTTACTCTCTGGTCCCATTCCCAGGCATCCCAGGGAGTTTCAGTGTTTGCAACTTTTCACACAGATTAAAGCATGTTTCTTCCCACTTAGCACAGTATTTTTAAAGCTTATCAAAACAGTACACATTCATGTATATGGCTAAAGAATAGCCCTTGATGTCGAATACCACATTTTATTTAGCCATTCATCAGTTAATAGACATTTGGGCTATTTCTGCTTTTTGGACATCATGTATAGTTTTGGACATCCATATACAGTTTTTTTGGTGTGTATTTCTTCAGTTTGGTCTTCTCAGCAGCCCTCTATGATTATAGCAGGGATGGTGGTACTAGTGTCTTTTCATACCAAGGCAACTGAGGCTGTGATTCCTTCACAATCAAATAGCAAGGTCAAGTAGACCCATAAAAAGGGTCAAATCTCTCAATTGTTAATCTAATAACTTTTTCTATTACGTGTGCCATACCATGGAGCTTCTGTGAAATGTTCAGTTCGATTTTTGCAAGTTTTATTTAGTGGATGTGACATGGAGTAATGATAAAGTGATGAACGCTACCAATTTCAGGCCTAAGAATCAGCCCTGATTCCTGATGTGTAAACCACATCCCACTTACAGAAGACAATTGCCATCTGAAGGGAGCAGCTTTAGTGAGGAAAACAGAGCAGCCCAGAACCCTCCCTTCAGCTAATGGGAAAGTGGAGGCAGCCACTCCCCAGAACCTCATCCAATCAGTGGCAGATTGGAAACATGACCAGGCATATGCTGTCTCAGAGTCCCTGGGAAAACCTGAAATTTTATACTGGCCTCTGGAATCCACTTGGCAATTATTTTTCATCAGTTAAGCAAGAAGACCCTGCATGAAACTTTGAGTTTGGGGCTGGGAAGGTGGCTCAGTGGTAGAGCGCTTGCCTTGCATGCCCGAGGCCCTGGGTTCGATTCCTCAGCACCACATAAGCAAAAAGAAAAAAGCCGGAAGTGGCACCGTGGCTCAAGTGGTAGAGTGCTAGCCTTGAGCTGAAGAGCTGAGGGACAGCGCCCAGGCCCAGAGTTCAGGCACCACGACCGGACCCCCACCCCCCAAAAAAAAGCTGGTTAGTTTTGAAATACTGTTATTTTTAAATATTTTTGTAGAAAGTTTACAAGGTCAAATGTGTTGTTAAAATGTGAACTTACAGCATCTACTGGAGAAAAGGAGTCTCATGAGGACAATAGTATATTCCCAGAGTCCCTTAGGGAAAATGCAGAAGTCCTGCCCTGAATAAAAATTTTCTTTCTAACAGCAGTGTGCATTTAACTGCAAGAAAAATATCTACCCTTTATACTAGCCTGCAAATTCTAGCCTAGTGCCAATGTTAAATGCTCATAACCCTACACAAATGACTTTAGTGCTTCATTCCAGGGGCTACTGAAGCAACTCAGTAGTAGATGACTTGCCTAGAAAGCATGAGACTCTGGTTTCCAGCTCTAGCACCACCACCAAACTAAATAAATAAATAATGCTTCATTCCAAGTGTGAATGATTTGAGGAGAACCACCTAGCTATTTCAAGAATAAGGGACAAAGAGTAAGGTCTGTATAAGAGAGGTAATAGGCATGTCAGGTAAAGTAAGAAGTAAGCGTGTCTTCTGATCTCTGAAATGAACAGGACAGACTAAATACAGATTTGCTCTCCAAAACACATACCACCCAGGAAACTTTACTAGGTGAGAACAATTTCTTTCACCCTAGAAAACAGTTTACATTTGTATCCTAGAGCTTGTTGTTTGTTCTTTCTTCTGACCAGAGAGGAAAGATTCTGGCTTAGGTTTGTGACACGCTCATTGAATATTTTCTAGTTCAAACCATTTGCCAGACATAAATATTGTACTCACCACTGTTGGAGAATGGGAGTGGGTCTAGATTCTGACATCTAATGGCTCACATTCTTGTTTTATATGACATATCTTCGATTCCTAAAATACATGGTAAAACTAAGTACATAAAAGGAATACAGAAAGGCATGATTAATTCTAACTAGAGGCCTGATAGAAGGCAAGGCATGTATCTCTGATGTTCTGTAAGGAACTGTGCAGCACCCATTAGCCACACCCACCCAATGCCTTTCCCCTGAACCCTCGGCAGAATCAGTTTCTACTCACATATATCTTGAGATCATATGCACCAAGGTCAAGATATTCCAGCTTGGCTTTCTCAAGCTCTGAGATGTTCTTTCTTAGACTCTTTCATAGTTGCAGAAAGGTCTCTTGGGATCTCATGTTACTGCTTTTCTCAGCTGTCTCTATCTCCTTCCGCTACTTTATAGTTATTGTAAATACTAGGAAACATATTTTTGACTTGAAGAATTATTTATACTAATCTTTAATAGCTTGATCCAGAAATGTTTACTTACCAGGCAAATGTGAGTAATACAAATACAACAAAATAACCATCCACTTGGCCAGTGCCCTGATAATTGGATCTCATGGACACACACTTACACACTTACACACACACACACACACACACACACACACACACACACACACCATTTACAATGATAACAGCTTTCTTCTGGAATAGAAAAACGATCCCTGGACTAGTATCCTTGTGCGGCCTTGGACAACTTTCTTCTGGAATAGAAAAAG